AAGAAGAAAAAACTCAAAGATATACTGAAAATGTCAAAAAAGATGAAGATGTGTAGAAGCTGAGATTGAACCAGCGCATTAATTACAATGCCAACTCTGAAACTCAAAGGACTTCAATTCTTTCACCAATCATCTGCCACATTAGCTGTGCCTAGGTGAAGTTCCTTCCAAAGCTAATCAATTCTTCCTACCAGGCCCAGGGCCAAGGTGTGTAAATGCTTTAGAGCTGTATGGTCTGCCTTAAATCTTTGTCCAGCCCTGATTTCAAAACCTTTACCATGTGCAGGTCAAATTTCCGCTGTGGGTCCATCAAATGAGCTGAACAAGGAAAGAACAATGGGTGCTTTTTGGAGACTAATAATGGAGCCAAAGATTTCCCTCATGGTCAAGCACAAGTGTGATCCCCCTCCTTACTAACCTGACTCATTTTTCATCTGCCACATTAGCTGTGCCTAGGGGAAGTTCCTTCCAAAGCTGCTCAATTCTTCCTACCAGGCCCAAGGCCAAGGTGTGTAAATGCTGTAGAGTTGTATCGTCTACCTCAAATCTTTGTCCAGCCCTGATTTCAAAACCTTTACCACTTGCAAGTCAAATTTCCACTGCGGGTCCATCAAATGAGCTGAACAAAGAAAGAACAATGGGTGAGACTAATAATGGAGCCAAAGATTTCCCTCATGATCAAGCACAAGTGCGATCCCCCTCCCTACTACCCCGACTCATTTTGATGACTCCTATCCAGAGCTTCTCACTGTTTCATTTTTTCAGCCACACAATCTATCCTCACCATCCAATGCCCCATTTGAGTCAAAAACAGTTGAAACCAGTCTATTTGGGAAAGCCTCCTAAGAAAATCTTGATGAGCCTAGTATATCTACACAAACATCATCTTCTGGTATCCCTCTGCTGAGTGTGCCAAGGAAGTCTGCCAGATAAAGCATCAAAGATGCTGGCATTTCTTCAAATATAGCTGACTTGAAGAAGGATGTCACACCAGAGACGCAAATGAGGTGAAGCCAGATATCTCAAGAGATGCACAGCCAGAAACCCAGAAGCATGTGATGCCAGATATCCAAACAAAAGTGAAGCCAAATATCCAAAAGAATGTGAAGAATGAAATGACAAGGGACATGAAGAATGAGAGTCAAAAGGAAATCAACCCACATATCAAGAAAGTATCCAAGCCTAATTTGACAAATGAAGGCCAATATACACAGGCTGAATCATCCCTTTGGCCTGCATGTTCACTCAGCTGTTTTTATCTGTATCCAACTTCCTACCCAAACAAGATTCCCAAAAAGTTGACCAGGTCTCCAATGAGTAAAATTTACCAATTCGCACAGCCCAGAGCCCTTCTGCAAGTTCCCATTTACACAAGACCACTGTAAACATCATACATTTCCCCAAATGGGAAAATGATCAAGAGTATAGTTTATCATAAAAGGATCTACCACCACACACTTGAGCCATAATACCCACACTACATATGTGCAGCAGGCTGAGTGAATGGGTGGATACCATGTACAAGTAGACGCAGAAAGTTCACGTCACCTCCGGGGCCCCACCCTGCGTGTATTACATATGGTGTAGTGATGTCCCTGGCCCCGGGGGTGACGTGAACTTTCTGTGTCTACTTGTACATAAATATCTGCTCAGTTATCTGCTCATCTGGATAATTGGATCATATGTAATACTTACTGTAAGTTTTTTCAGCTTAACAAAATCATTCCAAAAGTTGACTACATACACTGACTCAAAGTTTTGTTGTAATTTTGTCAAATAAAACTCATGTAACATGTTATGACCTTACATCACTATAAAGCTACTGCTATGCTTGTACTGAAATGTGCATACTTCATGAGTGTGGAGGAGGAGATTTCCTACTCCTCACGTAGCAATCCACCATACATTGTGAAACACCTTCTGTAGCCCGTGCATCTCATATTGTTGTGATAGTGTCATGTAAGTTGGTCAAAGATCATACCTAAGTGTAGGATGGTTAAGGTGTTAGGAGAGTACAGTTGGAGTTGTAGGAAGACTTTCTCTTTTGGGAAATACATGTCTCTTTTGGGAAAGATGAATCAAGGGATGAATTGCTTGGACGTGAATGTAAGGGAAGACTGGATTTCATGTGTATCAAGGGGTGGAGAAAATTTTCTGGGTCTCTTTTGTTCCTTCTCGATTTTCCCCTCTCTCTCTTTCTGATTCTTTTCGTGTCGAAAAGAATCAGTAAGTCATCTCACTAATATCAAGATCAATGTCTTTTCTCTTTTACTAATCTTTTCATTTATTATCTTTTTTCTTATAACTTCGCTCTCAGAACTTCATATTAGTGTCTGTTACTTACCTTGAACCACACGCCGCTCTATCCTTACTTCGAGCTCTCAGGTAGATCACTTGTGCTTTCTTTTGTTCTTCTAAGTAGTGTCGAGTCTAACCTTTCTCTTTCATCCTTGTGTTCTGTTTCTGTTGTCTCTGAACCTGTTTAGGTCAGTGTAGTCTTGTTCTCGGCGTAGACCAGCGTGTAGCTAGAAGAGTCTAACACGGACAACTGTGCCCTCAGGTTAGTAGTGTCGAAAAGAATCAAACTTCATATTAGTGTCTGTTACTTACCTTGAACCACGCGCCGCTCTATCCTTACTTCGAGCTCGCAGGTCAGTGTAGTCTTGTTCTCGGCGTAGACCAGCGTGTAGCTAGAAGAGTCTAACGCGGACAACTGTGCCCTCAGTTTGTATCCCTTGAAGTCTCTTTCTAGCTTTGTCACTGTCTGGATCTCTGCCTTGAGACCCTAAAAGAATTCCTCGTGAATCTTTTCACATATCTCACCCATCTTGGGTCCCATCATAACACCATTTCCGTGACTGGCAAATGGCTTCAAGAGTATCGCCTGGGTAGCTATGGAGGTATATGTAATCAAATTTTGGGACAATTTTGCCAAAGTGGAAAAAGTTGCATGATGAATCTCATATTTACTTATTTGGATGATTAGACAACTGAACAGACCAGTATATACATGATAGCCACTTATTTACCAGTCTTCTGCAAATATGTAGTGTGGGTTTTATGGCTCAGGTGTGTAGTGATAGATCCTTTTGTGAAAAACTATACTCTTAATCATTTTCCTGTGCCCACTTGGGGATAATGTATGATGTTTACAGTGAAAGACAAATCAGAAACCAATAACATTTGACCTGGAGACAAGTGTACTTGAAAACCCTAAACCATCAAGTTTCACTACATGCCACAAAAGACAGCTACTTCACAACCAAACATCGCCAGAGGATACCCGGGCTCCTTGAAGAGGAAATCCAGAAAATCTTGATTATCTCAATGCACACACTAGACCAAGGGTAGTCATAGCAATCAACAAACCATCCTTTCTTAAATCTGACATTTGTATATTTCAGACAAATAAGGTACACATATACCATCTCCCCACACACCACACATAAAGTCAGGTGTGACAGAATACAAGCAATGGACCATGCAATATATTCTTCAGAATCACCTTCCAAGACTCTATTTCATTATAAAATCCAAAAACCTGGCCTTCTAGATCTGTTCAAAAAGCATTACATTGATGGTGAACCTGTAAATGACATGATTTTTTCCCCGACAACAGGAAACAAGGTGTAGTTCCTATCTGAAGAAGAAAAGGCACCTTGGAGAGCAGCTATTCAATTGATAAATCCTACAAAGGTTCTACCTTTCAATATGAATATTTCTCACCTGATAGATATTTATGAGGAAGAGGGTCGATATTGTTGATGGTACTCAGGTATGTACTTCAGAACCTTTGATCAAATTATACAGCCTATTGGCTTCTGACAACTTTAAATGTATTCTTATGCTTTCAGTATCTGTCATCTGATATGACATGACTGAGGTATCACAGATGTTGGTCTTCTGAGCATGGTTTCAACCAATGAGCATCCACTTCAATTGATAGTATATTTGAGGATTCCAACCAATAACCCCCATGTCACATTGAAATCCTCTTGTTGTAATACTTTCTGTCAAATTGAATTTTGTTGTATTGATAAAGTGGAGTGTGTTCTACCAAACCAATGTATTTGAAACTCAGTTCCATGTTGTCTTTACCTACCCATATTTATATTTGTATACACCAATATTTCTCAATCACTTTGTAAAAAGTCCCATGAGTCTTGCTTTGTCATTTTGAGGAAGCCTACCAAAAAGATTTGACCTGCTCAACCTTGATTGTTATCAACCACCCAGCTACAGACACAAGACTGAGCTTAAAATTTTGTAAAGACATTTGGGATATTATCTGCCCCCCTGGACACTTGGTTGATCCACTCAAAGAAGCTATACAGTGACAATTGAATGGAGAACCTGTGGTTGTTCAAGGTGGCAGCTTTGTATATAAGCTGCACCCTGATCAGAAGAGATTCAGAACAATCTGAAAGAAAATAATATTGTTTGCCAAGATGATTCATGAGTTCAATGAAGAGAAAGGCACAGTATTGAATCTAGAAGACCCTTTATGAGAACTCAAAGTCAATGGTCATGATGTTATAACTCTCTTAGGTGAAATGAAGGAAGCAAAATCAAAGCATAAGTGCATGAAACAAGAGACGCGTGTTGCAAGATTAACATCTCAATTGTGAAACAATGGTGCCACTATGATTTGCTTCCCCCCGGTTGACTTGTCTTGCTCTGGCTAAAACTCAGCCTTACAAAAGGGCAATTATCACTTCTTCCGATGAACACTGGAAGACAAGTGTGTGATTGATTGGGTGATCAAGTCAGCATGTTGTACTGAGCTAGTTGAATGGGGTTTAATCAGCGGCATAGTGAAAGCAATCATTCCCCTTTGTAACAAGATCAGCACTTATGATCCGATCGATGATTTGTGAACTTTTATCACCTTTCTTGCTTTGCACTTCAAAGTGTTTTCTTCTTACCCACTTCGACAATCAAGTCTAGAGATTTAAATCTTAATTCCCAAAAACATCATTCGCTGCCGCTGCCACCTCATCATGATCACCGACAACGTCTATGTATCTGTACCTGCCCAAAGATTAAGCAAGAAGTCTTACATGCTTTGGCGTACCAGAACTCAGGCTTTGCTTGACGCGAAGGACGTTTTAGGAGTCGTCACGGATACTGCAGTTCCCACCATCGAGAACGCACCAACAGAAAGTGACGATCAAATTTTGACGAAGGATCGTAAAGCTTATGACATCATCATCGAGCAACTACACGAGCTCGACCGTCAGACGGTAATCAGCAACCCTGCTCTTCAAAGTTCGGCGCGTACACTCTGGCTACATTTTTATCGAAGATACGGAGTTGCGAATCCACTTCAAGTCGACGAAGCTTGGACTCAATTCCATGAATGTCGTACCAATCTGGAAGATCCGAATCTTATGGTCAATATTCGCGCTGCGATCTCCAAACTCGAAGCAGCTGGACAGGCCACCGACATCTCACCTTGCCGGACGCTCATTTTAAGCATGTTTCCAACAAGCCTCCAGCCCTTGAAAAATAGATTAAGTCAAGAGGAAGCGATATTGGAAGAAGTTCTTGCCCACCTCGAGACAGTGATACAGACTTATCGGGAGCCCGTTTCCCCACTCTTAGGTTCAGCTGACCCAGCCCGTAAGGACTCAGACAAGGCAAATCCCTCTCAAAAAGTCTCCGAGCACAATCAGAAACGTGAGATGCGAATTGCAAGACGCATCAATCGTCTTCCTTCCAGGTCCAAGAAGCGTAAATGCTTTAAACCCGCATGTCCTGCCTCAACTCCTTCGCCAACACCGATTTCAAAATGTTTGCCATCCTTAGGTCAAATTCCGACTCCTGGTCCATCTAATCCGTTCAAAGAGGCAAGCACATTGGGAACTTCTTCAGCTGCCAATCAAAATCCCGAACATTTGCCCCATGTGGAACCACAGGTGCGGTATCTCTCCCTACTATACCAATTCACTTTGATAGCTTCTCTCCAGAGCCGCTCACACTATTTTGTCTTGCAGCCACACAATATATCCTCACTATCTGATACCCCGAGCAAGTCAAAACACGCTGAAACAAGTAAATGTGGGAAAATCTCTCAAGGAGATGTTGATGCTCCTGGTATGCCTTCGCAGACATCTTCTTTTGATATTCCTGGGCCGAGCGCAGCGAGGAATTCTCCCAGCCACAGCGGTGAAGATGTCGGTGCTTGTCCAAAAGTCCTTGATACACAGAAGGACGTGAAGCCGGAAATCCAGAAGGACGCGGCGCCTGAAATTCAAAAGGAAGCGACGCCAGATATCCAAAACGACGAGAAGAATGATACTCAAAAGGAAGTCAAGCCGGATATCAAGAAAGAATTTGAGCCTAACTTGACAAATGAAGGTACGTATAAACAGCCTGAATCATACATTTGTCCTGCGTGTTCATTTTTCCGCCTTCATGTATCCGACTTCTTATCGAACGAAGATTCTTCGAGAGTTAACCAGGTCTACGAAGAGCAAGTGTCATCAAGTTGCGCAGCCCAGAACCCTTTTAATAGCTCTCATTTACGCACAAAGAAAAACCAGAAACCGACCATATTTGACCCGACGACAAGTAGCCCTGAAAACGCTAAACCGGTGAATTCCAGTACATGCCATGAAAGACAGGTAGATCACAACCAAACGTCACAAAATGATACCCAGGGTCCTCAGACAGGAAAGCCAGAAGAGCGTAATTCTTTCGACCCACACGCCAGACAGAAGGTTGGTCGTGACAATCAACAAACCACCCTTTCACAAGTCTGATGCTCATATTTTTCAGACCAATAAAGTTTATGAATATCATCGACCATCAGCGCCATACATAGAGCCAGGTAGCACGGAATACAAGAAATGGGACAAGGAATACCTGCGATATATTCTTCAGAATCGCCTCCCAAGACTCGTGGTTCATTGGAACATCGGAAAAGATGGCCTTCTAGATTTATTCAAAAAGCATTATATCGAGGGTGAACCTGTGGACGTACAAAGCCGTAGACAGTATCATTATTTCTACAACAACTGTAAAAGAGGCGATGTTCCTGTAATCCCTGGACGCAAAAGACAAAGGGATCCTTGGAGAGCAGCCATTCAATTGTTAAATCCTACAAAGGTTTTAGATTTTGATAAGAAGATCGATGATCTGATAGATATTTACGAGGAGGAAGGTGGATGTCCGAATCTGGCACGTCGCAATCGATCACATTATATGGCCTATTGATTTCTAAAAACCCAAAATGTATTATGACACTTTCAATATTTTTAATAATCTGATACAACATGACTGAAGTTTTGCAGTTGTTGGTTTTCTGGGTACGGTTCATAAGATGAGCATCCACTTTGATCGATGATACCTTTGATATTTCCAACCCATCACTCTCGTATCCCAATGAAATCCTCTTCTTCTGGTATGAGAACATGTGGGATCCTTTCTGTCAAAGAAACTTTTCTTTTCTTCATAAAGTGGAGTGTATTCTTTTACACCAACTTATTTGGAAATCGTCTCCATGTTGTCTTTCCATTTCTCGAGAGGTGTGTTACAGGAAAGGTGCACTAGGGTGACCTTGTAAAGTACGTGTAGGAATAAAACAATTCCTTGTTCTTAATCTTCCAGAACTGTCCTACCACGTATAGTGGCTAGTGTCTAAAACCGTGAAATCGGGTATTTTGACCAAAAACCTTATCAACGTCACAATTTTGATCCAAATTGGAATCCGAGCACAGATTCGGAATCCTCCCATTGGAAGCTATCAGAAATTGTTTTCGCCGAGTCAATTTGAGGGCTTACAAATTTTCATGATTTTTACAACATAGTAGTATTATTTCATAGAATGTAATTTACGAGCAAAAAATTGAAAACAGACAATTTCTGGTGCTTTTGTACCTTCTCCATCAGTGAGACTAAAAGTCGAAGTGATAAGTTAATAATTGAAAAAGATATAAAAAAAAGAAGAAAAAATATCAAAGAAGGTTGGCATCGGTTGCAGAGTTGCGAGCAACGGTTCTGTGAGAAGTATATAACTTGACGTTTGGGTTTGGACCGGGGTGTGCTTTCATAGTGTGCCTATGAGAAATGAGATTGATGTAAGTAAATGAAAAACTGCAGATGAGGACAAAATCAAGTTTGCTTACAAGAGATCCATCATCGCTGCATCGATTTTGCGAAAAAAACGTCGGATCGTTACCAGAGGGCATGTTTGTCTGATTGTTTCAAACTTGTCCTTTGCTTGTTGAAGATCAGCACATTCAAAGCTATGTTCACGGTAGCCTGAAGCGAAATCGATTTATATTGGCCAGTGTTCAAAGAGATGATAACATAGCAAAAAGAGTAGACTTACGTGGTTTTATGTAACACCAAAGAAGCTCGATCGGGTTCAATTCACAATGGAATTTGGGAAGGAATTTGCAGATATGGCCAGCTTCCTCGATTACCTTCTGAAGCAACGGTTTTTCGTTTTCGAAGTCAGACTGTGTTGTTAATACTTTGTATGCACAACAGTCTGGAACATCAATTTCAGGTAAAGCTTCACTCGGTCGTGCTTGATCTTGCTCAAGAGGTATTTTGGCGTTTCTAAGTAGGCGCTCTGCTCGAGCGATCTTGTCCTTGGCACGTCCGGTCTTCTTGCAGTCCTTACACATTGAAACCATCTCTTTTTCACCCCTTGATGCACGTACTTTATTGTGATGATCCCACAAGCCACGCTCGATGAGAATCTGCCTGACTCCTTTTGGCTTTCCCGCAAGATCTTCTTTTTCGATAACTTTTCCTTCTTTGGACTTCTTGACCGGAGTTGTATCTACATAATTGGATGGGTAGTTCATTGTTTGAACCTTTCCACAAAGTTCAAGCGGAATATTTGGATCATCAGACGGTATGATGGTGTTGCGTAGTTGTGGCTTCGAACCCCCAGATTTGAAATTCATCTTTGAGAATCGAAGTGCGTTGGGAGCAAAAGACTCATGTGCTGCTGAGCAATCAAAGATGAAGCAGGCTTGAGAATTGGGGTGATTGGTATTAAAAATTGGAATCGCTCTAGTAATGACCTGGTTGATGAGTTGATTACAATCCCACCACGCATCACCCTTTGCGCCGGGATAGATGGTGACTGCAGCATCCTTGAAAGGAAGAGTTGAATTTGAATTGGTGGGTAGAGTGAGTCGGCCAGTTGGAAGACAGACAAAGTCGGATATATGAATCAACTTCCCAACACTTTTTGTGCGAAGTGCACAGTCCTTATCAGACATCCACGCTGATCGAGGTCGTTCATTAGTATGGATTGTTGATTCATCATGATATATACGAATAATGTCACGAGTCCCGTCATCGAGTTCTGCATAAACTTTCTGATCCATCATCTTGCCAGTGTAAGAATGCTCCCGTTTATGTAATTCAATAAGCTCGTTGATAAACTTTTCTCGATAGATTACAACATCTGCTCGCTCATGTCCATCATAATAAAGACACCTCTTGTACTCTGAAACATGTAATCCGATTCGATGCATCCATTTATTGGCTGTTGGGATCGAGATGGTCTTTTGATAATTTTTGTAGTTTGGAAGAATCTCGGTGTTCACATAGTGAGCAAGTTTTGTTGGTGTAACCTAAACAAGAAGAAAGGTTGAAGAAAAAAACAATTTAGTCAATAATCACAATCAAAGTTTTTTTTACGATTAAAAAATTTACAGGTCCAACTGGCTGATCACTAATCCAATCAGTGATTGATTTAAGCACGTTGATATCATCCAGAATTGAATGATGTGGAGATGCAAATCCTTGATGATTGATTGGGAGATGACGGTGGGAAATGACATGAGTTGCATTGGCTCGAATCCTAGCGGCAAGGCGTATCACACTCCCATCTTTTGGTGGGTCTTCTTGTCGAAGCCGGTACAATTCGGCTGTTTCAAAAGACGCTTTCATGGCACAACTATTTGGACTGGTCAGGTTGAGCTTGTAGCGACGATTGTTGAACTCGCGTATGAGCCCCAGTTGATCAAAATCTTTTATGGCAAGTTGGCTCGAAGTTCTGTGGCCCTTAGAATATTTTGAAGCATCTGCAAGAGCATCATGAAGTATCTTATATTCTTGTTCAATGCATTCAATTTGAAAAGGTGTCTTGACACGAGTTGAATCATTATATTGAGTTTCTGAATCTAAAATCATATCATGATCCGAGTGAGCATTGGTTTCTGGATGCGACTGAGCATTCAAATCTTCATCTAAATCTGATTTCCAATCTGAATCAATGTCTGAATACACATCTGATCTCAAATCTGAATCCAAAGATGATTTTGAAGCTGAATATTTGTGACTGGACATGTTATCGGTTAGAGAAGATAAGTCTGATTCAGGCTCGGAGAGGCACGACAAGCTTGAATCATCGGGGGCTGGATCCAGGTTGCTAATTTGATGAGATCTAGGCTTGACTTGCTTGGGGTTCAGATTTTTTGTAGAACATTTGGATGCTTGCCAACGACGACGCTGAACTTGACGGGCTTTATTTAATTTCATTGAAAAAGTGAAGAAAGAACTTCTATTTAAGCTAAGAGACAGGATCTAAGAAAGGATTGATCCACCACTATTGAGGTGATCTCAATCCTACATGTAGTATGAAATTCAAACACATGTAATTTATTTTTTTTATTTTTTTGCCCGGCCCGACATTTCACGGTTTTAGACACTAGCCACTATACACACAGAATACCTAGTCCTACAGAGTTAGACCTGCATCCTACCAACGCTGAGACAGCAGCGCTCCTTGTAACGCTAGCGTAACGCTAATGTAGCTCTAAGCGGCACGTTATCAGATAGCTTAACGTGTCTCAAAAGAGCTACGTTGGCGGATTCTCTTAACGGGTATTTTTCAGGTGAGTTACGTTATCCCCTTTGGATAACGGGGATTTTTTTTATAAGTTACGCATCAGCCCCGCATCCCGCTACAGTAACTATGTTGCGCATATGGGACCAAAGGGGCTGACCCTTCTCAATATACAGACACTTTTCAACATAAACACCACTCCAATCACCACCAATTCGACTTGAATGAGTCTTTGAAAGTGAGAACTATAATCTTGAAGTTTTATCACTTCGATTTGATCAAAACGTTTCCAAAAGATCTTGTAAGTTTCTTTTTTCATCAATTTGAATCGTTAGAGACTTCTGATATGTTTCTGGTTTTGTTTTTCGATTAGACAAGCCATTGTCAAAACAAGCTTATCTTGATCAGAGATTTACATACAACTAAACAAACTTTCACACCTCGATTCCGATTGCCCACTTCCACCTCACTCTATCTCACATCTTACCGAGACATCAAAGATGAAGAACCCTCAACTTCTTACAATTCATTCACTCCCTCATAGGTCACAATGGGTTGTGGGAAATGGTACCGTACCTGGAAACGCTCATCAAGGGTTCAAACCGGTGGTCTGAATCACTCCTAATTGGATTTGGTCAACTGTAATTTACTTATTGGTCGATCATCACCACATGACAAAATACACAAAAAATCTTTCAGACGTTGTGTTTTAGGTTATCTTCTTCTCTCAATGCTTTAGCTCCTTACTACACCTTTTAGTCTTCTGGAATCGTTTTTATAGTCCATCTTTGTTTGTATGCAATTCACAAAAAGATGTGAAGGGGGATGAAATGAAAAAACAAATCAATTGTTCTTATAGGTAGGATTAGGAAGCGATTTCAAATTATTTGTTGCTTCAGATAGATAGGCAAATGGAGATGTTTGCTTCATTTGGTGATCTAGCTAATGAACTCAATTGAAGATATGCTGATCAAGAATGTGAATCAATCCATTTTGGGGAATCAAGTGTCTTACAAATGTTCTTATAGTTTGATAAGAGATTTTTTCCAGTTATCGAGCTACTGTAGCGCTAACGTAACTGCACGAGTTACGTTATCAATGTGAGATAGCGGCAAGATTACATATCAGTTACGCAAAAATGGATAGTGTAACTTGATGAGCAGCGTTAGCCATTTGGGGAATTTCCTGATAACTCATAAAGCTACTCTACGCGCAATCTGCCTGGTAACGCTGCGTTGCGCTGCTGTCTCAGCGTTGATCCTACATGGTTGTGGTTTGGGGTGGTCCCAAAGGTAAGGAGGTGTAGGGGGAGATTGGTAACCACCAACCCCCATACCTTACCTCTTGGACGAGAACAGCCCTGAGAAGATAAGACTTCTCAACCCGGGAGGCGGGTGGGTTT